CATTAAATATATAATACCGATGCGTGTACGGTTGATATGCGCGACGTAATCGCGCGTCGATACGGAACTATATAGGTTTTTTCTTTCGATTTAGCACATCGCGCGACGCCTTTGAACTGCCGTTTTTCTGGCCGGAAACTCTTATGACGCGACGTGTATTATACGAATATATGGGTTTTGTGATTATTGTTATTATTTTTATTATTATTATTATTTTTCACAATACGCGCAGAGAATGAAGAAGAAAAAAACCGGAAAACTATAGTGTTATTATAATAATATGTGTATTGCTTATTGTACACGAACGGCGACAACGGTATAGCGAATTAAAACGCGAACGGCACGACGAGGTTAGATTTCGCAAATATCACATATCACTACTGTGTATTCACAACAGTGCAATTTATTGTCGGTTGGTAACCTACGCGGCGGCGGCCGACTGTATACATATAGCGAGCGATCTTCGCGTCGAACTGCACCGTGATATCATTTAGCACAGTTTTAAGCGCACTTATTAGTTATTGACCATGACGGTGCGTCGACTGTTATACGCGCGCACACACACACCCACAAAAACACGCGCGCGCGCACGACGACCAGCACACGGTCGCTCGCGCGTATAACAACAACAACAACGACGACGACGACGACAAAAATCGACGCAAACGTGCTCGTCCGTACGGTTATGATACGATAATATTAATGATATCGCGCGGCTGTTGACGAACGACGAAAATCGCGCGCCACAAGATACCTTGGATAAGACGCACCGATAAAGCGTAGACGCAACCGGTGGGAGGGGGGCTTGTGAGACTCGGGGGGCTTGTGAGACTCGGAGCCCACTCGAAATAAATAACGCTTTATAATATGGCGGTTACTTTTGGTACGATATCGAGGTTGGTCTGTCTTGGACATTGTGCTAAACGCACGCGTGGCCGATCATTTTCGATGTTGTACAACGATATTGATAATAATCGTTTTTGTCGTTCGTCCAGCGATCGGGAAACGCGACGAGACGATACCGTCCGGTGACGACGGGCGCGTCCGCGATACACCGTCGTTACCGGTGGGCAGCGGACCGAAGTTCGAGTGCCACGTAGATACGCGTCTTCTATACAGCGTCGCCCGTGGGGACGGACGACTCCGAACGGGTCCCGCGAGCGTGACGGAAAGACGTTCGGCTTACGGCCAAAACTCGGCCCCGTCATCGTTTAGGCTGTAACCCGTAAGCGCAAGATATGACCCTAACACTACCAAAAAGCACAAAAAAAAATAATATCTTTTTAACAAACCATAATAAGCGCAAAATTAATTTTTTTTTAAATAAGTGTACTCGATCACTGTTGATGTATTTTTTAACTATAAAAATACTATATATTTAATTTAAATAAATAATTAAATTTAATAATTAATAATTTTAAAATAAAACTTATAACCTAACGGGTAAAATATTTATTTTTGCGCTTTTATCCCACTACTATATGAGGTACAAAATCGCAAAATCAATTTGCGCTTTTGGGTTTCACCGATCGTTCGTGAAATCACCCAAAATAAGGGGGCGCCATGAATAACGCGACCCGCCCGCGGTAGGTACCGAAATTTCGAAGGGATCGGTCTGCGACGCGTTTTGGTCGTTGGTCATTGTGGCGTCGTACCGTTGTTGTGCCGGCGCGGATAATCACTTTCGCCCGACACGATGCACTGCTGGCGCGAAACTTGACCTCCAACCATGACCTGGTTAAGACGCGCACGCGAAACTACGTGGAACGTGTAATTTATTTTGAACGTGTTGCGCCGCCGCTACTCGACGGGACCGGACCGCCTTGGCGTTTAAAAAATGGGCGAACAGCTGCTGCTGCTGCTGCTGTCGCCGCCGCTGCATTACACATTATAATTATTATTACCTATTACTACCTATTACATTATTATTATCACGTCATGGTATTATAATTCTCGGGCAAAACGTAGTACACGCTCCCGTCGCTCATAACGACGCGTAGTTTCGCATTGTCCGTTTATTCGTTTCATAATATTATATGTACCTACACTTTGCACGTTCGTGTGTGCATGTATTGTATCATAAATTGTAATAGACGCGAGAGGTGTGCGATCTGGCAACACCAATTTTCACGGCCAATTTTTTTTTTAGTTTAACAAAAATGAACTATAATATGTTTATGATTCGTTATTAAAAAAATTATAATACTTCAAAAGACCAAACCAAAATATCGTAACTATAAATTGAGCATAGATTAATTAATTTTTATTAATTCGATTAAAATATCTGTATGACCGGTTAAAATTTAAAACGATAGATAACTGAATCGTCAGTGTGCAAAAATTGTTATTATTCACTCGATAATGGTTACACAATTAATACTAGCTTTAGTACTTATTACCATGCACTATTTAAGGGAAGGGAACACAAGACTTGAGTCTTGAGACATTAGGGACCACTAATTTTTCACCATTTATTTGTAATATTTAATGTAATTATTACCTAATAAATATTGTGTGTAAAAGAAATACCAAATATCAGGGGCGGATTTAAAGCACTGCTAACTATGCAGCCGCATAGAGCGGCAAATTTTTGAAGAGGCTTTTTATACGCAGCAAAATTGTATTTAATATTTATTTTGTTCTTGTATAGAAAAATACCTAATTTTGTTCTTGAATTTTTCAATTACAAAATAAATAAATAACATCAAAACTACTTATATAACTAAATAATTATTGAATACATTTACTATTATTTTTTCTTGTATAATAAAAATGAAGAGAAAATATTATATTTTAATTTTAACGTTTTAATTAAACTTTAGTTAAATGAAAAATACATAAAATTGCATACATAAAAATTTTTATTATATAAGGAAGTTTTGTTGTACAGTGGTGATTTTTTTCAAATAAGGACAGCAAATTGTTAAATCCTTCCCTGCCTAATACCTACTTTCAATATCAATAAGGATACTTATTAAAAAAATTAAATCATATTTTTAATAGAAAACACTTGATATCTACTTCCAAATTTCATTTGAAGATTAATTATTATTAGGAGAAGTTTATACAAAATGATACAAAAGTTTAAAAAAAAATTTTAATTTAGTGAAATGAGCTACATTTAAAATTAAAATTAAAATACAATCAAATAAAATTCTTTTTGATTTCTTATTAGTACCTCAAAAATTTAAATCCAGGCATCGAGACATGCCTAATATCAAATAAATATAATACGCTATAAGTCATCATTGTTTACTTCTGTTGACTGTTAAGTGTGATATTTATATAAATACATATAAAATAATGGAATACAGTTGTAACTTTTTTCATTTACCGTTTATCAATCTGCTTAAAAAGTTGTTCAAATAAATTTATCACTATAAACATACATTAATTAGTTAGGGCGTTTCAATAAATTATATTATAAAACCATTTCACAAACAAGACTTAATTTATTTCAATAATTATTATTTTTATTTAATGTTTCAGTAGTTTGATCCATTTAAATGTTACTTCACATTTCTAAAAACTGTAATTTTTAATTTTCATGAAATTCTGCCTGTATTATTTAATTGAATGCATGATATATTAAATTGATAATAGATACTCATAAAACATACTCGTAGTTTATAAATAATATATAGAAGGTTTAACACTAATAAATAATAAGTAACATCACACTCATCACAGTGAAATACCTACTTCAAGTACTTGGAAAAAAATTCTTTACTCTTAAATAATGTATCAAACTATTTAATAGTATACAGTTTTACATTTAAGATAAAATATATACATAGGTCCTAGATATTAGCCATACGAGTAGTGTAGCTACTATGATTGCAGAGGCTACACTCCCTGAATGCTAAATTTGATTATCTATTACTTAGTCTTAATGGGTTTGTTGGATTAAAAATATAATAGCTATAGTGTAATAAGTGAAAAATAATTAATAATAATAATAATAATAAATTGTTAAGCACCAAGTATAAATGGCATAGGATACACACAATTTAGTTGGTCTCAGAACGCTCACTAACTTAACTACTAAGCACTGCTGATTGCTGAACTAAATGCAACAATCATAAATAAATAAATATTTACTTTGATAAATATCATCTACAAGATATGAATTTATGACACTATTGATTTTGTTTTAACCAACATAATATATATATATATATATATATCACTATCTTTACAAAAAAACAGTGCCAACCATGAGATACGAGTTGATTAAATTATAGTTGGTTATGAATATTTTAACTCCTTTATTTAATGTAATATTTACAAAAGTAATAGTAATTACAAGTAAAAAGAAACTCAATTGATTATGATTTATATTCAATTATGTTTCAACTATAGAGGTCAGTACAAATAAAAATTAATAATTTCAAAAAGTTTTATATTATATTTTTAAAATAGTTTTGTACATAGATGAAATACCCCGTACAAACCAAACAAATACTAGAGATACAATGCTATTATGCTAATAATAACTAACATTAATTTTATGAATTTTGTACTGTTCATTAATTTCAATAATTAATTAAATTACAATATTTATTTTTTAAAACTTGATTAAAACAATGATTAAAATAAATAATATATAGGATGGTATAGAATGTGTTCTCTGAACAAATAAGAGAAAAACATTTTTTTTTAAACTAAATTCTAATTTTTTATTAAATATATGAAATACAGTCTGTCTTTTTATTATGAATTAATAAAATACATTTTAAACACTGATGGTCTTATACAAATTATAAGTGTTTACTAAAATGTATGTATAATTATAATTATTAATTTATAATAGAATAAGTTTAAATGAAAGCAAACTAGTATAAAAACCCAAAATTAAGTTCTATATATTAATGCAAACAAGAAATCTAAAATTGAAGTATTCAATCACAAAAATCTTAGTTTTAATTTTATAAATGGTTCATAGTGAAAATATTAAAAAAAAAAAAAAGATAATATGCTTTAAAACAAATAAAAATATATCTAAGTGAATGTTTGTGTAAAATAAGTAAACCATCAAATATCATTAAATTGTCAGCTTTGTAATTTTATTCAATTGATCCTTCATCATGATCTTGTGAATTTCTATTACCATTATCATTGCTATCAAGTTGCCATTTATTGGTTTCAGTAATTGGTTCTGGTGGAGTTTTAGGCTTGTTATTAGAATTATGCTGATGATCTTCACCACTACCGGAATAACGTTTTCTATATTCTTTAGTAGAATTTTTGGATCCACTACGACTCTTACTACGGCTACGACTACGACGATTTGGTGAAACAGAATAACTGCGCCTTTCATAGTGCCGATTTCTATCGTATTGTCTAGGTCTATAATGAAAGAATCGTTGCCTTCCACCACCTCTTTGACCTCTATTATTCCAGTTATTATTATAGTTATTATAATTTTGTCTATGAGCATATCCTCCACGATGTTGGAAACCACGATTCTGAAAACCACGGTTATGATGGTTTTGGTTTTGAAAACGTGGTTTATAATAAGTACCACGGTTACGGTTGTTATAATATGCCATGCGATTTCGATGATGTATGGAACGAGAACGTGAACGCGAACGAGAGTATGAACGAGAAGATGAACGAGAACGATTTGAACGAGAAGAAGAATAACGTCTATGCCGAGGATATGACCCTGAACGACTCCTAGTTTTTGACTTTGATGTCTCTTTGGGCTTCTTTTTATATGGAGACTGACTTGAACGACCTCCAGAACTTCTACTTCTTGAATAATTTATACGCCTCTTAGATACCGATGGGCTACGCGATCTTTGCTTGTTATTAGGACTTAAATAAGATTGCTTTTGTTGAAACTCCATATTATTAATATTATTTTCAGAAACTGGATGAGTTGCCGGAGGTAGATTAAAATATCCTTTGTTGTTTGTATCATACAAAGTAGGAAATCCGTGATCTGTATTATTAGTATCGTTATTATTGGATGACTGTGTTCTCATTAATTCATGATTAGCAGGTAACAAACGGTTGTTGTCCCAATTGTATGGTACACTATCAGTTGTCTCTTTTTTCTTGACCTTAACATAAGTCGTAGTTGTAGTAGGTAATTGCATTTTAAACTTAGGTGTTGGAATCAATGATGGATCTTCTTCATACTTATAAGTATTTGGCATTTCTACGATTTCATTTGCTTTAAACACATCTGATTGTTCATTATCCTTATCAATAATATTTTGATCATTGGAGGGTTTATCTTGTTTTACATACTTTTTAAAGAATATATTTTCTTTCAAACCTGATAAATTTGATTTAACACTCTCTGGATCAGGGAGACTGGATTTTTGGATAGCTTGCTGTTCGTTATCAAACGATTGTTCAGTGAATTTGTGTTTTTTTGATTTATTTTTTTTATGATGTTCCTGGTGATCCTTGGCACTTTTTTGCTTACCTTTATAATCTTTTTTCTTGTGTTTATGAGACTTCTTTTTATCTTTAGATTTTTTGATTTTTTTATCTGTCTTTTTTTCTTCATTTTTTAGAGCATAAGCATTTTGTAATAATTTTTGAATATTAATTCCAATTTGTTTATTTTTCTTAATTTTATTAGATTGACTTAAAAGTATTAACTTTTGGATTCTTTCTTCAATATCACTTTCTTTTTCTATATTCATTTGCTGAGATTGTGAATTTTCTGTAGCAATAAAAGAGGGATTACAGGGTAATCCACCTCCATTTGTATTACTTCCATCCATCATTGCTAAGCGCTTACTAAATGGCGATAACGATCTTTCTTTTTCTAATTTTTGTGAATCATTGCCAGATGATTCATCACTTGAACTATCAGAAGAAGTCGTATTATCAGAATCACTATCAAAATCAATAGTACTTACTTCGTCTGAAGAACTTCCTGAACTTGAACTTTCACTTGAACTGCTGTTGCTATGATTAGAACTGCTGCTACTACTTGCTGATTTCTCTAAATCAGTATCAATTTTCTTTTTTGAAAAACTATCGAGTGTATTCATGGTCATTGTTCTGCCAACTAAAAGAGATGACTTGAGATAATCAATAGATGCTTTTGCTTCATCATGATCAGGTATTACATGTAAGCATTCTTCATAATATTGTAATGCTTCTTCTAATTTATTTTGAGACTCTAAGGTTCTAGCATATCCCATCAGAGTTTCACCAAGATACTTACGGCCATTTACATGTTTCGGATTAATTTTTAAGGCAGATTTTAGATCTTCAATTGCTTTTTGAAAACGACTTAGATTGGCATATAAAGCACCTCTGGCCACATAAGCTTCAACATTTAAAGAATCTATAGTCAATGCCTTATTTAAGCATAAAAATGCTTCAGAGTGTTGTCCAGCTTTAAAATATTTAATTCCATCGGAAACACTTTGAATAGCCCATTCAGCAGATTGAACTTTACGAAGTTCTAATGCAGTATCTTTTTCTGGGAAACTCCCTGACAAAGAAGGCATAATTGAATGTCTATCATCAGACAAACCAGTTATTAACTCTAAGTTGCAAATATTTGATGGGTTTTTAAATCCTGTGGAATTTAGTAACATTGAGTCGTATGAATCGTCATTTTTACCAGCATGAAACAATTTGAATGTTTGAGGGCAATTTTCCATGTTAAATAAGCCAAGTAAATCTTTATATTTCTTGTGGCATTTAACTCCTTTAATTCCACATACTAATTTAAAAGCTTCAGGTACTACCTCTAATACTTCACAACACAAATTGTCTCCAATACTAAGACCAGGAATAGATGCTTGACAAAAGCCACGAACATTAATATCAGAAACACATCTTATAGGTTCAGTATATGTACATAATACCTTTAAAATTAATCCAGAGATATTTTTTGAAGATATTGAAGTAATTATGATTTCACCTTCAGAGAGTTCGTTTAAGAAATGTTTTAACTTAATCTCTTTGTTAGTATACCCAAAAACTTCATATGGTGGCATAACAGTAAATGAATTTATTTCAAAGTCTTCGCATTGTTTTTGCTTATTATTGTTAGCCAACAAATCAACATTAAAAAATGCCTTTGAATTATTTGCAATAAACTTATGGAGTTTCAACTGTTTTTCGTTATCCAAATCATTAGAGATACTGTGTCCATTTGCATAGGCAGGGAAACTTAGGGTAGGAAGTCCTGTAAATTCTCCAACATCGCCTAATTCACTTCTTAGTGCTTCTTGTAATTTCGGCCCATGAAATTGCAGAGAAGTACACAGCAAATCTTGATCCAGTTCAACTTCCATTTTATCTGAAAATAAATACAAATTAGATTATTTCAAAAAAAAAAAAACTAATGTTGTAAATATATAAATATATTTATAAAGATAAAGTTAAATACATAATAAAATTGAATATATTATTCATTATTTAACGAAGCAAGGCTTTATTATTTATTGATGCCTGATACATATTTTAATATTTATATAACTATAAAAAGGCCAGAAGTTGATCAACAAGATATGAAATAAAATTTTTAAATTATTATAGATACATTCAACTGTGAAGGGAATAGTATATGAAACATAATAAGAGCTATTGAACTTTATTGTATTATGACACAAAACCATGGTAACTCAACTTCCTTAAATTGATTTGTTTACATTGTACAAATGTAAAAATCATGTGTTCAATAAATTTTAAAAGTTTCTAAAGTAAAATAATACGTAAAATTAACTATATATAATGATATTTTTCACTTCAGTTTTAATCAAGAGTTTGAAAATAGTTGTATTATTGTTGTTGATCAGCTTTGCCTCACAGATATTAAATACTAAAAATATAAAAAAAAATTCTAACAGTTTTATTTATTTATTTATTATTGGTTAAATGTAAGATAAAGTTCTATAAAAAATAAAAATAGGTACTTAAACTGTTGTTTACCTGGAATATTCTCAGTAATAACGATGAAGTGAATTATAATTTTTACGTAGATTTGATTACAACCGAAAACTTGGCACTAATTAAATACTTATCCAAAATCATATTTTTGAAAAAAACATGAAACCACAAAAACATGTTCATTAAAATTTAAAAAATAAGTAAATATAACTTCGAAAAATAACTTGTCACAATTTTAATCTCTAGATTAAACTCAAGTGAAAAATGTTTAATTACTTTCACTAATTTGATAATATATTGAAATCATTAGATACCTATTAGTAATATTACCTTGTTTTTTAGATTTATAATATTTTTGATGAAATTTCTAACATCATAAAATTAACATTAATTCTATATTATTCTATTGTAATAAGTAGTATAAAAAATGAAAAAAAGTTTTAAATAAAAAAACAAAAACAAACAGTCTTATAAATGCAATACAAATTTATAAGGCTTGTATGTCATTATTCAATAATAATAATAAATACAACAGTTTTAATATTTGTTATCATGGTTACGTGGCATATTTTTCAATAAAAGTACTTTACAAGCAAATTAACTTTTAATAAGCACACATCTAAAGTAACAATAATAAATTGTCTACTCTATTTGTGTAGTTAAATTTAAATTAATTGAATACAATAATACAACTTAACTCAAATTAAAGCATAAGGAAATATAAATTGTGAACTTTTAAATATAAATAACAAAATAACATAAAAATATAAAATTTAATGTGGTATAAGTAAATAATTCTCTTTAATATAAATACTTATTATTACCTACATCAATGAACCTAAAATTACTCAAAAATGGCAGATAAATGTGATTGCAATAACTATCATATTTCGTCATTAAAAATTTAACTTCAAAAAAATTATTTATTAAGTTGGGGATTTACAATATCTATAGGTATTTAACTAATAAAATATATAGTTTTAATATAAATTAATTAAATATATAAAAAAAAAACATAGCTAAATCAAAAATTAATGTATTTTTTTAGTAAAGTAAATAAATAAATTTAACTTTTAATGGACAATTGATTTTATAAGTAAAATTCAAGTATATATCATGCTCATAAAAATTGACATATAGGTGTAGTATTTTAAAAAGTATATAAAATATCGTTCTTTATCTACACAACTGTATGCATATAGAATTAATATTGTAAATATGTTAAGTAAACCGACATTCCGTTTCAAAGGCTAATGAATACATTAGCAGCTTATGTAAATTCTTGATTTAATATTCGATAGTTCAGATAAGATAAATACAAAGTCAACATCTAATCACTTCAATTACAACCATTATTTTTAAATTAACCAACAAAAAATAACAGCATTATAATGCTATAATATTGGAAGCAATATTTAATTTAAGCGTCTTTAGTAACACTATTAATTAATGCTTGAATAAAACAATAAATATTAACCATATACATACTATGTAATAATATTTAAAGCAGCATTATGTAAAATTGTAGTTCTATTTAAAATGTATTTAAATAAAAAACTTAATTACTTAATTTATAATGTCACATAAAAATTATGTGTAATACCGTCTTAACTATAGTTAAAAATACTAATTAAACTAAAACTTTTATAGTACATACATAGGATAGGTTATATTAAAAATAAGTAATAAGTTAAAAAGTATATAAAAATAATAAATACTATCAAAACTACAACATTAGTGTTGAAGTGGAAATTAATTGTTTCGATACACCTATCATTTATTATTAATTGCCTACCAATTACAAATTTATTTAACACTATACATTTTATTAATGACAAAACAAATGTACAACATTTAAAAATACAATAACCTATTTAGTAGCATGAACAATAGGAGTAGCGAGTTGACTTCAATTTATGTCAGTTTAGTGAAATAAAACTTAAGCAAATAAATTGTACTTATTAAAGGTTGCAAAGTGGATAACTCATGTGAACTACACATTCTGTATATTTATAAATAATAATGGGGAATATAACACACAACGGTCTTTAAAAAACGCATTTACAATGTACATTTGTATCTTATATCTCTACATTGTACCAGACAAAAATATATATAATGCATCATTAGCCGTTACAATAACTCATGTTAATCATCATATTAAAGCAGACAATAACGTCTGTTGGGTAAGCACAATGGCGGGGCAGACATTAAGCAGCAGCGCGAAGTCGCGCAATTATACATGGAAGAAACATTTACTTATGTGCTGTCTTGGTTAAAGTTGATAAAGTACAAGCGTTCGTTCAGATCAGAATTTGAGAGGTTCATTTAGCCTGAAACATACCGAAAGGTTTGTGATGTGATCGTGCGACAAGAACGCGGGCGGAGGAAGGGCTCCGAAAATGACGGGGAGGGGTGTTTACGGAACGTAAACATTGGTTACTGTTAGTTATTTTCCGATTCGATCTGGCGAACAGGACGCCGGCACGACGGGGGGAAAAAAATAGGAATCGGGTCCGTTCGTGAAATACTGCGCATGACCTTGGGCGATTATTGATAAATTATCGTCGAGTAAACAACGAGCGCGCGACTATCGTTTTCCTCATATTACTCACCAGCGATTCATGAATCTGTTGCCAAAATTATGCGGGTTTGAACCGCACGCACACTGCGTAGTATATATGCAGGCAATCCGTCTCGTCGCGCAGCAAACGTACGGCGACGATGGTAAAAAATGACTGTTCAAAAAACACCAATGATCTAAAAAAAAAACACTTTCGATCAGTGACCACGCTAAACGTGACCGACTGCGAGCAGAACAATAGAGAATGAGTAGGCAATAGCCAGGAAATGCGGAATAGGCTACTTAGTACTTAGTACTTACGCGATAGTCGATACACAGCAGTCAGCAGACGGTCCAATAACAAGAACGACGAACAAAAACAGTATAGTCGGCGCACAAAATGGTCATACACATGGTTACAGTGTAGACAACAATGAGCGCGTTGTGTAGGAGGTGTGACCGCAACGGGTTTTACGAAAGTCCGATATCGCGCTGTTCCCTCGGATTTGAAATACAGTGGACGCCGCTTATAAGACTATTAAGACTCACTTTAGTCACTTTGGGACCAGCACAAAGCCACAAAGTGAGTCTTATAACCGAATGGATCTTATGGGCGAAGTGAAAAAAAAAAATTAATTACGTATTTATAAATTTTATTTTACTACATATTTTGCTTTGATTTTAATACATTAACACATATTACATATTAGTATATTACATACTTTATTATTGAATAAATTTAATAATCCCGATAAAAGAAACTAAAGTTATAATCGTTATAATTATCGTTGCGATAAATGTGAACTTTTATCTGCAATAAAAATTATTATACGTTATAAGGTACCAACAGAAACTAGAAATAATCAACACAAATATTATTTCATTTTTCAAAACCAATATATTTCTAAATTATAACCAAAAAAGTTTATTTTCTATTTATTTTTACGAAATTTGAGTCTTAAAACCGATTTTTTTAATGTATTTGGATACGTCCGGACCGTTCCAGACGATTTTGAGTCTAATAAGCGACTGAACATTATATCCGTGAGTCTTATAAGCGGCGTCTACTGTATTACAAAAATAGAGAAATGTTTAGAGATGATCATAGTATTCATAATAATAATTATCAACTAATAAATGTAAAATAAAATACTCCGTGATTTAAGCTTGCAACTGATGCTATTATTTAACTGCTGTTATAGCTCATGCAAATTCGTAAATTCGTCGACATAGACAAATCTGAATTAAAACTCACGGGGTTTGCGTCAAATATTTCGTTGGATCCAATATAAAACTTAAAAAAAAGATACGTCTTTGATTATATTTTGGTTTTTATAAGACGTTAAATTCAAGTCATATAGCGTTCAATTTTAAAATAAATTCTATGCTTTGGAGACAAATGTTTATATCACATTGTATAACTTACTCATAGTCATTAGACTGTTAACTTGAATGATTCTTAAAATAAATATTTATATTCATATTAAGAATTAGAGGTATTAGACTTTCTTGTGCACATAATATTCAGTAAGTTAAAACGTATGAAGCAAAATTAGAGACCCCTAAAATAATCTCAAGAGTCAAGTCTTGTGGCCACGTCCTCCCTTTATCATTAGGGCTTTGGCATAGTTTTTAATGTTTTACTGTTTACCTCACAGTCAAATTGTAATTGGTTTAAACTGCTTAATTTAAAATATACATATATGGTATGTTGGTTATACAGCACATTACCATACTGAAATATAATTTTAAAAAAGTTGGATTAATAGTAGAAGTCCAGAATCTAGACGTATCTTTCTAAAAGGGTGTGGCGCGGCACACTGGTGTGCTGTGAAATCTGAAAGGTGAGTTGCGGCACACTGGTGTGCCGTCACTTATAATAACGAATAATAATGTCATGTGAATATGCGATGGAAAAAAAATGTGTGGGAACCACTGATCTAGACTATAATATTTATGTACATATTAAAATTTGAAATAGGTAAATAAATATGTATACACAATTACAACAACCTGACAAAAGGCAATATTTGAGTTTAAAGTCTAAATTGTAGGGTATGGTCAAAAAAATAAATTCAGACATTATTTGTGTTCTACAATCCAGTACCCACTATTCACAATACAATACTGACATGCTGTACAAAACATTACAACATAAAATGCAGTATAGATATTAAAAATTCAATCTTGCAAATTATATTTGTATTTCATCCCATCCCTCACTTAATGTTCAATGTCAACAGGGCAAGAAATTTATAATACAAACAATTTGGAAATAATTGAATTTTTTTTATCAGACGTAAAAATTAACAATATTTTAATTTTTTCAGAACTATACTATTAACTACAATAACTCAATAAAGGTTAGGTTATACATTTAACAAGGCATTTTATTATTACCTACAGTTCAAAAGTAATACAGATGCTAAAACAGATATTTTTTTAAGTGTGGGTTGGTGATGCCATTATAGGAAAGTATAGCCAGAATGAGTAATTTTAATTTGTAAAAATAAAATAGCCTTTAATAATTTACTAATTATATGTAATCCATATTAGTTAAAACCATACAAGTATTACTAAATACAATACAAGTTAATTTAAAATATTGCTAAGTAGAAGTATAGATTTTCTAAGTGAAAAAATGAATGTATAGCTAATATTATATTTCAAATGACATCTAGTGTCAGACGTCAGTATTGCCTACCACTCATGTAATTGCATCAATAAAGATAATAATCAAAGAATCAATTTTTCTTCTGAAAGAATCTAATTTCCAAATATTATTAATCTATTTTAGCACCATTGACATTAAACTTAATACAATTCTTATAAGTCCAATTAAAAATACTATATTAAGAACTGTAATAAATGATAAAAAATTTTTGCTAACCCTAAAAATAGTATTTTGTCATAAAAATGTTATGCTTACAGATTTGTCAAAAAGAACTAATTTATACATATTACATAATAATAATAAAATATAATATAATATTTGCAGTTACTTCTGTTATTAACCCATTAAATCTTGAGCTATGAGAAATAAAAACTAAGTTACTATGGTCTATGATGTAACTTTAATACAACTTATGAGTAACACATGCTACATTTACTACCATATACTACTCGATACTGATTTTATAATATGAACATTTAAATACTTAATATAGGTAAATTATTTAGTTAAATATAAAAACAACACACACATATATATATATATATATAAAATTAAGTTTAATAATATAAGCATAAATTGAAATTTTTACATATAATAAAAAAATTGTTTACTTGTTCAATCCAATATAATGGTACCTGAGTCACTATTTTCATCATCAGAAACAACTAAAAATAGTATACAAATAAATTTATTAATTCAAATTATTTAAAAATATAATAAAATAATTAAGAAAGAGATTCAACATAAACAATAATATATAGTATAGACTAATAAATAATAATAAGTAAAGTACTTTTCAGTTTTTGTTAATAATTATTTAAATTTAATATGTAGAACAATATATTTCCATATTATTCTCACAAAATTCTATAGATCTTTGCACCATCAGTACACACATTTGATAACTAATAAAAATAATGATATAAACTTCAAATCAATTTACAGTTTTCATATTTATTATCTATCCAATAAGAGGACATCAACACTATTTCCATCCACTATTGAAGGTTGTTGTATGGGGATTTACAGAAAAACTGATTTTTATAATGCTGCTATGTGTTTTTCTACAGGATAGAGTTTTTTAACATTACATGTCAATATTTTCACATTAAAATATAATATACAGCGTTAAGAATTTTGAATTGGACCGGGATTTCAATACAAAATGCATTACTTTTTGGGTGCTCTAGGGTGTTGTCTAAGACGTCGAATTCAAAGTATATAATTTGTTTCATGTATCAGACATTTCAGGGGTGACCATTTATCATTTAGTTTTTGCTATTTCTTCAGTTGTAGAGCACTTTTTAGCATTTTTAGATCATTTTATTAATTTTTAGTACATGATATCATTAATACATTGTATAAGCTTAATGCATAAATTAGAAACTTCAAAACATTATATCAAGAAAATATTGTTTTCATAATATTTACAATAATAGTTTTTAGATGTTTTTCATCAGTACCAAAAGCCAATCATTATATTTAAAAGTGAGGTACCATGTTTATTTATCTATAGCTATTATTTGATATGGTGTCGATTACCAAAAAGTACTAGTTTAAACTTACAAATTATTTAATGAAAATATGAAATTAAAAAGATAATTATATTTTATAAATCCCAGAATACTTACCATACTTGCCTATGATAGGTCTAACATCTTCTAATTTATAATGACTAACAACTTCAACACTCTCATCACTTGATGATGATTCACTACTTTCAGCATCAATAACAATTAAATCATCATTTTTTTCATTTTGTTTTACATCATTAATTTGATGCAAATTATTTTGAGAAGTTGTGAATGCAGTTCCATCAGTTATCTTAATCACTTTTTGATCAACATCCATTTTTTCTACAACACAAAAATATTTTAAAATGCTCATCAGTTTTTTGACAATAGAAATTAATAAGTTGAGTAAATAGAAGAAACCTTTATTGTTTTGTAATATTGCAACAATAAAAAAAACAATCTTCTGATGCTTATAAATGTATACTTTCTTTTACTAACTTACAAATATTTAAATTCTTAAATAGATATTCAAATAATAAATACAGTTATGAAAAAAGGCCAGTCATAACTACATTCAAATTATATTGTAAATAAAAATATTATCATTACAAGTCTACAAGTATTTCTATCTTTAAGATATAAAAAATATTAAATCAAAATTTCAAACTAATATAAATCTATCGACTCTAAAATTATTCAATTTATAATCAAAAAAAGTAACTAAAATTTTTACTATGAAATAATAACATAGTTTATTTATGAGGATAGGTTAGGTAAAATTGAGTTAATAAATAAATTACACAAATTATTTTAAAAATAAGTTTTAAACCCGTACTCTTATACTAAAAATTGTCAACAGTTATTGCCTACAATAATAAATAAATAAAATGCTATACCATCAATTTCTTCTATTTTATCTTCTCGATTGGATGGACCAACAAAATTAAATTTATTAGATAAACATAATTTTAGACCATTTTCTTCGGAAACTGCTGGTTCTAGACCTTTAATTGATTCACTAGAACTGCTAAAAACAAAAATAATGTATACAAACATATGCAAAGATTAGTTACTTGTACAATTGACAAAATGTATATTTATAAATTAGACTAAAACTAAATTTCCTTTGTAATAGATTTGAATAATTTAAATTTTCTTCCATTATCTGTGTAATGAAACCACATATTATTGTTAAAAGATGTTGATAATACCTTACGATGCCACAATAATATTATAATTTAAAGTTATAGTTTAATCAAAATATCTTAATTGTTATAAATTTTACCGATTTTTAATGTCGATTTGTATAGCTGATTTTATTTTATCTACAAGTTTAATAGCCATGGAAGCTGCCTGATTAGAACAGTTCACAAGAAGTTCCTGACTTAAAGAAGCACATCCTTCAATGTCAACGCCACACATTTCTCTATGATTGTTAAAACATATAGACAATTTGTTATCACAGACATTATCTTCTAGAAGTGATGGATCCAAAATAATAAAATCACTAAAATCAAATCTGAATATTAATTATAAAAAAAACTAGGAATAACACAAAACAAAAAAAACATACTATTTTTCGAAAATTGCAAAGTTTACAATTACTGGATGATGATGAAGTGATAATGGTATAGGATCTCTCTCTGAACTAGAATAAACTATTACTTTTTCTCCAGTTGACATAACATCTGGATGCCGAAAATGCATTAATGCTGCTAAAGTTGCAATCGAACAACATCCCAAAATATTACCGTCCAAATTCAAAACACTCAAATCTACTTTAATTTTCCACACCTAGAAATGTTTAAAAATTCATAATAATATATATTTATTTGGTATATGGCAAAAATAATATCTAGCATAAAAACTAATAAGTTTATTAATTAATTTCTTAACTTTCTGAATTAAATTTTTTTACTTCCATTTATTTTATTTGAATTAACCTACATTAAAATAAAATTTAAAAATAAACAAAGATATTATTAATTTATAAATATTATTAGCAAGCAACTGTAATTATATATATATATATATACAATTATAAAATAAACTAATAATAAATAATTTAAATAATAAAATAAAGTATAAAAATATAATGGTACTATAGATATATTATATATATTAAAAAATATAAATTAAATTAAATGGAATTATTGTCTAACAATGGTTTTTTTTTTATATTCATTAATTTTCAGATAAATTTTAGCTTAAAATATCAAACAGAATCCAAAAAAATCTTTGTAATTATTTTATTGCTGCTACAGTTTAAGCATATTAATTTTTATGATAGGGAATTATTTGACACAATTAATTTAATTACAAAAAATAAAATAAGTTGATCATACTTTTTCCTCAGCAATTATACATAATGCTTCAAGATCTATACATTTTGAATCTTTGTAGAATCTTTCTAAAACTTGATTTATTTTTGTTAGATCATTAAGCTTGTTGTCTCCTGCTAATTCGGCAGATATTTGTAATACACCTTCATTTGGACGACTATTGTTGGGTTGATATATTTCACAGCTAACTTGAGCAAAGACGCGTGTACAACCAAGTGTTACTAGACAATTACCCCAGTCCAATCCAAATTCAATTTTTAATGGTCTATATTCATCTTTTTTTCGGCCATCAAGGCGCTAAGAACAAAAGATTTAAAATTAAAAAAGCACATTCAATTAAATAATAAAACATGAAACAAAACTTCAAATAAGTAGTGATGAACTTACAATTTTTTGAGATGCTGCTTCCAATATAAACGTTCTTTCACAATCAGACAAAGGATTTAAATTCATGGTAACAATTGTTGCTATTGGTAAATGTTACGTAAAATTGGTTTTCAACACGTCTGTGTAAATCCACGAACCTGTTTTGTCGATAATTTTATGGCAAAAACTCAGATTTTTACTGTTTAACGTTTATTAAAATATTAGCTCTTGATCTCTAATTGATTATTTTAATTATTTAGTAGTTCTAGTATCCGTATCCCTAATAATACTTTTGAATACAAATCTTTTTATATTGTTTAGGTGTTGAACAACTTTTAAATGTCTGATGTCATTTTCAGCCAACAAACCTTTTGAATTTTGATTCTATGTTTATACTTTATTGTTTGTTACTTTCGCAAAAACATGCTTACACGCGGTTAATAAAATGTGTTAGTTGTTATCATAGAATGATAGGGTATGTTGAACACATTGATCTCGCATCATTGAAACTCTGATAACAGTGATAACCGTTCTGATGAGAATTTATAACAAGTTTAATTATTAAAAATTTAAAATAGGCAAACTGTCAAAAGAAAAGAAAAAAAACATAAGCTAGTTCATAGATATAACATGAAAGCCTACTTCTAATCTATAGTTTATTTCATTCTTGAAGCTGAGGCTAATTATTAAAATTTTAAATGTAGGTACGGCATAAAAACAATTTATATGTCAATAATAAAATATTTTGGTAAAATATCATCAAATTTTAACATTTAGATTATTAACTATAACTATTTATAAAAAAGTATGTTTATTAAAGAACTGTAAAAACGTACATTCATAACTTGACTAATTGGTACAAACTAATCTAATACAAGATGTACTGAGAGGAGGGGTGTCTGACCAAATATCAAAGTTCGCTTTTTTAACTATTCCTTAGGTTAATGCTGTGTGATAATTTGATTATTTCTTAATACATATTATGTAGTGTTTATTCTTGAGATCTATGCGACAATGCTTATTATTCTACATAAAAGAATCTTATTTTGATTTTATAAATTAAACGATTTTTAAGAGAATAATTTTATAACGATTTATGTTGGTTTCTCATCAACAATTCGAACAAATAATTACATTTCTTGTGTAAACAAATTTTAATTTTATTAATATTTAAATTAAACAATAACAAAAACGAAACGTAACTTACAAAATGATTTTAAACTTGATGATAATGGAAAAAAATATCTTTGAGATAATGGACAAAATAATTTTGATAAAAAAATTACTGTCCATACTCTTTTTCGTATCCCCTGAGCCCTGGGTCGCTCTCATCTTTACCGATGTCTTCGGTCAAGGGATGAGAGTTGGGCCGACAGACGCTAATTGCGAGTCCAACATACACTCAGCAAAACCCACTTGACGCTTTTCTAAATTTAACTGGTGATTTCAATAAATTTTCTAAGATATTTATTTTTATGTTAATAATTTAAACTCATAAAAAGTTCATTCTTTTAAGATATTCCAAGAAAATAAAAATGATTAGTTATCACTTATTACAAATATTTTGCTAGAATTCATTTTTTTTATTTTATTGAAAATAATTATTGTATTTTAATTACCTTTTTTTAAAATTTAAAAATCACAATAAATATTCATCAATTTTTACCTACGTTATATTAATTCATATTATTATATTTGTACCTATTTAATTAATATTTGAGTATATTCAATTTTTGTAATTTAAGAACCACATAAAAATATATTTATGAACAATCTTCAGAATATAAATTCTGATTTTTCCATTTTTTTGTTACAATATGTGATCAAAAATTTAATGAACTTCTACTATACAACTTAAAAAAATCTTAATTATTAATTAAATTACAATAACACTTCTGATTTAATTTAATTGATTTACTAGTATTATTAAAATAGTTTTGTATGAATGAATAACTGTAAATAATAAAACAATAAAATTGAATCATATAAATATATTACAAAAATTCCAGTTTTCAACAATAAAAATTATAAACACCATAATGGATTTAGTTTATGACCCTGTGTAATTTGGTTTTCGTTTTTCTACAAATGCCAAGAGTCCTTCCATTCTATCTTTTGTCGGAATTACTTGACTATAACAAAATTCTTCAATAGCACAACCATTATTTATATCCACTTGTTGTCCATGACTTATTGCTTTTTTAGCCATTTTTACTGCTAATGGTCCATTAGGTAAAATCTCTCTAGCAATTTGTAAAGCACACTTATAAGCACTTATACCTTCATCATTTTGTTCACTTACTTTGTTTACAGCTCCATATTGTAAAGCCTGCTGTGCATTAAAAAGTCTGGCAGTATAAATCAATTCTTTGGCTATTGGGCCACCAACTGCGCGCGCTAAACGTTGAGTGCCACCAGCACCAGGTATTATGCCAAGTCTAGTTTCTACTAATCCAAAAATGGAATTTGAAGCACATACAATAAAATCACAACTTAAAGCCAATTCAAAACCTCCACCTAATGCAGCACCATCAACAGCTGCAATAACAGGAACAGGTACATTTTCTATAATATTAGCTAAATTACGTATTTCTGTTACACGCTTTCCAACATCAGAAGATGGTAATTTTAAACGTTCTTTTAAATCTGCTCCAGCACAAAATATTCCATTTACAAGACTTCGAAAAATCACTACTCTTGTATCATTGTCATTGTACAATTTTCTAAAAGTATTAAGTAACTGATCTATCATATACTTATTAATTGCATTTTTTGACCCTGGTCTATTGAGACCTATGACTACAATACCTTTATCATCATTTGTTAGTCTTTCAACATTGACTAATTCTTGAGCTTGTTCTTGAGTTGGTTTTGTAGATAAATTTTTAAATATAAAACTTTTTTTGTTTAATTTTGACAACCTATTTATAATAAACATTTTAAAAAATTAAAAGGCTGTATTATATTATTTAAAACTTACAAATTGCACATAAAAATATCTTGTAGTGATTTAATTACTAATTAGTTATTTTACACATACTTTTATTACTTATTAGTTTAATACCTACTCAGTTGTTCATTAGTCATTACATAATGTTGTTTGTTTCTGTGATAAGATAAAATAAATTTATTTAATAAGTTTATCTACTATTATAGTTCATAATGTCATAACTCATAAGTTTTGGTTGCTATAACAACAATTTTCAAAACAACTAAAAACTATTATATTTGATGCATAAATAACAGATAAGAACTAGTTATGAATATTTAATTTAAATCACTATTGTAACAAAATTATATTAAATAATCATACAATTTTTTAATAAATACATTAAAAAACAAGTACAATATAAATAAATAAAATCTAAGATATTATTTTTAACCTTGTATATGAAAATTATTACTTCATGTCGAAAGAAGTGTTTCCATTATGGTTGGAAGATTTATCGGAGTGAGTCTAAAATCTATGTAATCATTTAAAAAAATTATGAAAATAATTTACTCACATTTTTAAACCATTTTTTAATGTTAAATACATTTTTTTTTAATGAAAAATTATGGTTTTTAGGAGAATTGGAAGTTCTCGAAATATATCAACACGTTCCCGAAGAAATCGAAAAATATCAAATGCAAAAAGTGCACGTCTTAGGCCAATTGAACCTGCAGTCCTCATGGATATATCTCCAACAATATCAAATAGATCAAATGATTTATTCGATTTGCTTGATGAAGGTATAGACACACAAACACAACGTAGAGAAAATTCTGCCCGTTATGGTCGACGAGCTATATCTAATGTTAAAAATATATCTGATAAAACTTTACATAATGTTCCTGATGAAATAATATTATCAAAAAAACCAACAAACCAAATTAACGAAGATTTTCTTGAGCAGTCTTGGACATCTTTAAATTTTTTTAATCGTAAACAAAAAGGAAGACTAACTAGCAAACGACAAGGTAAATTTTATTATTTTTACTGTTATTTATAGTATAATAACAATTTAATAATGTTCTTAAAATATTATTAATAACCTAACAATTTAAGTTAATTAAAAGTTATTTTATTTAATATTTTTTAAATCTTCTATATTATTTTTGAATGATTCAATTTGTTATAATAATATAACCTATTACACATTTATAGATCGTAAAACACCAATAAGTTTTGGTGTAGAATCTGAATTTGACACACACATTTCAAAAAATGAATCTCAATCACATACACCATTTGTAATACCTGAACTACCATCTGGCTCTACATTAAAATTGGATATAACCAGTACTTGGGGTGATCAACATTATGTTGGCCTTAATGGCTTAGAAATTTTCAACAATAAAGGTCAATTAGTAAATATTTTAAAAGTATGTATGTAATATAGTAAAAAGTAAAAAATGTTTTGACAATTTATAATTTTTTTCAGATTTGGGCTGATCCATCAGATATAAATGTTTTACCAGAGTATACATCAGATCCTCGAGTTGTACACAATTTGATAGATGGGATTAACCGAACAAGGGATGATATGCATTTATGGTTAACTCCATTTACACCTGGTGCTCATCATTTTATTTATTTAGAGTTTGATGGTGTACATACAGTAGCTATGATCAGAATATGGGTAAGTAAATTATAAATTTATAAAATGTATCAAGTTACTCAAGTTACTTGTATTTAAATAAAATATTTATTATTTTAATTTTTCCAATAGAACTATAACAAATCAAGGATCCATTCTTATAGAGGTGCCAAAGACTTAAAAATGTATCTTAACTCAGAGTTAATATTTCAGGGGGAAATTGCTAGAGCATCTGGTGGAATTGTAGGATGTACAGATGCTTTTGGTGATGTAAGTAATTTAAAATAAATCTTATAAGTTATGGCTAATTAATAAAAACTGTGTCATTTAATAGTGTTAAAATAAAGTAAATCTTGACTAATTTTATTTATTATATTTTTTACTATTATATGCATTCTATTCTGTAATTATATTAAATAATAAGATTTTATGTATGCCGCAAGTTCTTAATTTTTTTTTAAATTAATTGTTATTTATACTGATTTTTTTAGACAATATTATACACATTAGATGATGATATATTAGAAAATATTGCACAAAATGATACTTCATATTCATTATTATTAGAAGCCAACAATACAGTCGATTCTATTTCAGTTGAACCACAACAACGTCCTCTTACAGCTGATACTGGAGTACTGAAGCTTAAAATAATCTATTAAATATTTACAAGCTAACATATTAAATTTTTTTTAGATTATCAGACCTTTAACTTGTGCACAACCAATTGTCACAAATATATCTTCTGATTCATCTGAATCTAACTTGAAACCTAAATATAAAATAACTGGATCAGTATTATGTCAACAATCATTGACTATTACTATTATTTCAACTTGGAATTCATTAGATAATTCAGATTCAATGAATACCTTTAATATTGTTGGATTACTGGGATTAGAAGTATTAGGAGAGACGGGTGATGTAGTTAAAATAGACAATATAAAATGTAATATTGATTCATCTAATATAGACAAGTAAGATAATTCTTATTTTATCAACATTGTCATTAATTCTGATATTATGCTTAATACCAAGAAATTATACACATTTCTGTTTAAATATATATATATATGTATGAAATATATAAATTTAAATGTGATTTTTATTAAAAATCTCATTATTAAGTATTAATCATAATATCAGATCTAATATTATTTTGTCATTATATGAATATCTATATAGTATGATATATTGAGTACAATTAAAATTTTCGACATGTTTAGATTATTAGAATGCCATATTTCTGATAAAGATTGTGATATGTGGACTTGTGAATTACCAGATGAGCCTTTAACTTTGACATGCAACTTTTTAGCTCCAGTTCATTTGTCAGCATTGGTTATATGGAACTATAATGGATTATCAGAAAGTTTAGACTGTGGAGTATGTTTTATTTATTATTTTATTTTGCATATAGAATAATATTTTATTAATAGGTAAAATTTATAAAACTTAATGTTGATGATCGAGAATTGGTTGAAAGAGGTATAGTTCAAGTAAGACGTGGTCCTGGACATTGCAGATATAATTTTGGTCAAAAAATTCCTTTACTTCCAAAGCATTGTCCTACTCGATGTAAAGAATTAGCAATTGTTAATCCTAAACAAAATATAAGTATGTATATTTTTACTTTATGTTTAATAATAATTTATAACAATAATATACAGTCTTACAATTAATAACTGTTTTGTATTTAATTTAAAATTAATTACCTATAATATTAATATTTTAACTGTTGATATTATTGTTATTATATTATTACTTTCTACATAACATATAATTTACAATGTTTAGAAAAATAGTTATTATTTTATTTTATTAGGAATAAATAATCCTGATTATGAGCATGTAACAATTCCAATTGGATTTGTTTATCAAATTGCTTTATTATCAACTTGGGGTGATCAATATTATATAGGCTTAAATGGTATCCAATTATTTGATAAATCGGGACAAATTATACATTTGGAGTCTAAAAGTAATACAATTTGAATTAAATAAGATACTTAAAAAATATATTTATGAAATATTTTGTATAAATAAGATATTAGTTGTTGGCCAAGCAGTGTAAATATACTAGAAAGTAACAAAAATGATATTCGTACACCTGAAAATCTTATAGATGGGATCAATGATACTATGGACGGCTCTCATATGTGGTTGGCTCCAATTTTACCTTCAGAGGTTTAATTTTATTATTCATTATAATAATTATACATTTGTAATTTTTAAAGTATAACTAATTATCGTTGACTTATAGGTCACCAAAATTTATATTGTTTTTGATGAACCTACTTATGTCTCCATGTTCAAAATTTGGAATTATGCAAAAACTCCTTTAAGAGGAGTAAAAGAATTCGCTGTGAGACAATAATATATTTTATAATAATTGCTATATAATACATTTTATTATTTTTAAACAGCTTATTTTTGTTATTTATGTTTATAAAGATTTTAGTAGATGATCTGCTTGTATATAATGGGATTTTAGAATGTTTCAAAACTAAATCAAGCTTAAATCAGTATTCTACAGTAATATTTGATATTTCCAAGGATCAAAATGACGCTATGTTTGAATTTTCAACGTAAGTAATATGTAATATGTATGTATCTATATTTTTAATTAGTATCATGTATTTTACAAAAATCACAATTTCCATATAATTTAATATTAATATTATAGGTATTATAAGTATATAATATATTGGCTAAGGTATGGGTACCTAAATAATATAAAACATATCAGTCTAAAAAAAATCCATTAGCTTCTTAAAATGTGAAATTGGTCATTTCATACAAAATAAATAATTTCAAATATTAATATGATCATTAAACCAATCAGTACTATAAGAAAAAATGCATTTAATATTTTTATGTAAAAATAATAAAGATTTATTGTATAAATTAAATTTATTTTATGAGAAGTATAGAGCAAATTAAAAAACTAATAATAAAAGTAAACAGTACAAAAATAATTAGAATCAACAAAGATTGATTAAATGAATTATGAGTGTATCACATAAATTTTTTTTTACTTATTTACCTGAAATTAACAATAATAAGTAAATAAAAATATTGTGTTTAAAAATCTAAAATGTTTTATGTATTTTAGTGCAAATGAATTAAATAGTTTGAATATTGAAGGCATGTTATTAGACAACGTTGTGGACCAGTCACAAAGACCATTTACATCAATGTTGCCATCTTCAAGATTAATTAATTAAGATTTCGTGAATACTCTAGAATTAAAATCATATGTATGTAGTTATATTAATGTCCAACTGATATTGGATATATATTGTATTTTGTATAGTTATGTAATTTTACCTTTAAATATTTTTATAATTATATCTATATGTAAATGTTA